TCCCTCCTTTCAAACGCAAAACATGATTAAAATGCAATAATCACGCTACAAATATTCGCCAACCCCGTATGAAGGACGGGGTATATAAATCTATATATATAAAATCCAATGTATGTTTGTCCTTTATGGACTCCGAAACCACTCGACAGATTGTAATGAAACTTTTAGGCATTATTAAGCATTATTCAAGGATGGTTTGTGTGAAGTTTGGTGCAGATCCGTCAATAGGGCTCCGCCCCAGCGGCTCTGGAGTTTCCCATGTTAACCTTATGAGTACTCATATTTAAATGGAATTAGAGAATCTTAACAGCTGGTGCAGCTAAACAATTTGATTCTGTGATGTTCAATAGCATTAAAAAGTTAATAGGTTTACCAACAGGGTGCAGCACTATATTTTTTTTTTAATTTATGAGAACAGCTAATTTGCAACCAAAAGGTGAGTGAGCGTAGCGAACGAACTTCAACCTGGAGGCGAGTTAGCGTAGCGAACGAGCTAACCTGAAGGCAAGTGAGCGCAGCGAACGAGCTCCAACCTAAAGGTTAGTGAGCGTAGCGAACGAACTTCAACCAGGACGTGATTGAGCCATGCGAACGAGCTCTTGAAAATGAACGAGCATGTGACATAAAACCACAATAGGACAGGACGACGTCTGTCGGGCCAGCTAGTAAGTAATATATTACAGCCCAACTCAAGAAATACTCAACGTAGGTTCAGGATAACACCTTCGATGAATGAACAGACACGTCTCCAGCTTTGGTCCATGATCGCGTAAAGTGATCCACTCTCACGTTTGTGTTTCGGCTTTTACAAATATTTATATAAAAGCACAAACAAACTAGATATTTGTTCTATTACAAACATTTGTAATTGGCTTAAAATACCTACATTTGTAAGGTCACCATTTCAGATTAAAGTATTTAAGTATTAAAGAACAACAAAAAGGTATGAGTAGTTTCTTTCATTGTAATACACGCAAAAATAATTAGTTCCTTTTTCTGTTCACTCAAGTTGTATTCTAAAATATTTCAAAGGTTGAATTCTTCTGTATACACGATATATTCAATTCGTCCTGTATAATCATCATTTATTCAATAAATTACCTTATTCAATAGTGAATCCAAATCATCAAGTCATGACTCAGACTAGTTTATCGATACCGCAAATGTTGCAACGGATATTATTTATTAGAAATCGAAGCTCTGCTGACAGCCAGACTCAGGTCAACTCGTCACGATCATCTTTATATACAAAAATAACTCCCTGCTCTGATATCTGCAATATTCTTTTTGAAATTTTATTTTAAGTACAAAGTAAAATATTCTATAAATACAGAAATATATATTCAAGAAATCAGCCCCACAAATTTATTGATAAGAAAGTACGGTAATCATTCTATATAATATTTTATTGTCGGGTGCAATGAAAAAGAACAAAATTCTGTTGAGTATCGGTAAATTACGAACACTATACACTAATGTTAATGACGATGATATACAAATGTCCAATATACTGCGTTGTTTATCCTGAATCGCGTTGACAAAACTGTAAAAAGGTTCAATTATCTGGTCCTGCCCTGCGACACCTTCAACACGCAAAAAATAGGTTGAATAAATATAGGTACTTTATGAACATTAACTTTTACATTGAATTATAATACAAATTTCTATAAAATATACATGTATTGTATATGCATTGTATATTTTTGTCGTATTAAAACATTATGGAATATGTCTCAGCAAAAGGATACAGTTAGTAAGTACAAAAACAATTTAATTTGCTTGATTTTTGAAAATTACTAGCATTGTATGAAATACAAATAAACTGGTCCTTACTTCGCGATTTCCAGAGGGAGCTCTTTCATAGATCTTCTTTTATTTTAGGCCTAACACCCAAAGAGTTGGTTGTTGGTTACGGCAGAAGTTTACCGCAGCCCCTATATTATATGGCAAGACTACAAGATCGCGCCACTCATTCTACACTCATCTCCATTCATACTTGGCTTAAATTCCCTACTTTGTATGGTCGCCATTTCATTGAAAGGTAAAGTAAAGTAGAATATACCTTTGATTAGTATTTTAGTGTTCTAGTAAAACAATAAGATTATCTACTTCTTGCTATTGTCCTATTGCTTAATTGGTAATTAATTACCAATATATTTTAGTTCTGGGGTGGATTGATCACTTTGGGTTTAAATATTCTTGGTGAATGTAGTAAATAAATAATATTTTTAAATCTATACTAAAAATAAATTGATTCATTTACTTTTTAGCACTTTTTTGTATTTGTTCACTTTTAGTAAATTTCACGTATAAGGAATAAGCTATTGCTTTAGTACTCATGGTAATACCTGGATTCGGGACCGATTTAATTTTTCGTTTTGATGTCCCCAGAGGCCAAAAACACCCTTTGTTCAAATTCATATATGTATACAGTATATACAGGGTTTATAAGAAGTCTGAAGACCCCCTGTCAATTTTTTAACGGCTCATACTAAAAAAACTAAACTCTGCAAAACTTTATGGCATGTTGTGAAGTACTTTTGGGCTTAACCGCCACTTCGTGTACATCCCCAAAATGGGGGATTTCAGTGGAAACTCAAAAATTTCATCATTTAGTTGCTCAACTATTTTATTATTTATTTCGTCACAATGTTCATTCTTTGGTGAAAGTATTGCATGTTTTTTTGTCTTTTTTAAAGCATCTTCAGAGAATACTTCACTGAAGATTTTGTCAATTATATTTTCATTCACAAAACATTGTGGTGGAAGACGTATCAATGAACCACCAAGATCATACTGGTAGCTCTTTTGGCCATTCCCTATTCGTAAAAGATATTCAGCAATTATTGATTCGCTTGGATTGGGTCTCAATGGATGTTTTTAGCAAGTGAAATCTTTTTAATAATTGGCCATAATAATGATCTGATTATTGAATTTTCCTACCTAATTAAAATTAAAAGTTGAAAACACAACACATAAAAATATCTATGAAAATGTTAAACACACCATATCTGAAAAAATAAAATCACATAAAATAAAATACAATTACATGATTAGAAAAAACAAACTTTTACTCCCTAACACTCTGAATGAAACTGCACCAATAAATAATCCCATTTCATCAGTCATTAATGCATTTGAAAGCAAAAGGATAAATAAACAGAAAAAATCTATTATATTATTAAAGTGATACAATCAAATTTTATGTAAACGGTTAAGGTCATTTACCAAATAAAGATATAGGCATATGGCACATCAAAATGAAGCTTAGAGTGTGTAGATTTGCCGAAAAGTATTGATATGGACGAATTTCCTAAGGGCTCTACCCCACAGGCTAATTTCCAAAGGGCTACCCCTGGCATATTTCCAAAGTTCAAATGATATAATTCAATTTAGTTCATGAAACAGCTGGTGAGTGCAATGAATTGGTGTTTGTTTATTTACTAGAAAAATGAAGATTGAGGAGGGTTATGTTTGGTTTTAAAGAAAGGTTGTATAAGTTTTGTTTAAGTATTGCTAAAAGTTTTTATTTTGTAATTTATATAGTAAGCTACACGGAAGGGGCTTGACTAAAATTGAAGAATTATGGTAAAACATGTCATTCATGAAGCAGCAATATGAAGAAATTGATGCTAAGGTATGTGTCCGTATGGAGGTATGTTCTTTTGGATCTATTAACATCAAAAGTAGGGGTTTGAAAGTAGGATTACACTTTTAAATCAGTTTATATTTTCAAACTAAATCATAGAGTTGCTGTATTTTAAAACACACATCAGCACCACTTGAATAGCTCTCTAGGTCACATTTTCTTCCCGTTGCAAAGCACGGGTATAGCAGCTTGTCTATATATAAAGCCAAAAGTACCCATGAACTTTAGAGAAAACTACAAGTCACACCCCCATAAACCATATACTTAAAATGTTCGTCATGACGAGAAACCTTGCGCAAAACTATCCATTATTTCATAAATTGCCCTTTGAGGTCGTAATTCCTTTCTAAAGGGAACTTTCCATATATGTTTAATGTTAAAAATACCTCAGCTGTACTTTTTTGTTTGTTATTCTTTCAATTCAGGTATTATCTTATTAAAATCAGGTGTGATTATTTGTTTGTTTTACTGTATTTTGTTTATTTCAGTATAACTTAACCAATCAATAGTTTTAATAACACTTAAGAAGTTAAACGGGGTGGAGCCCGTGGGTAACAGCTAGTAAATATTTAAATGACATAAGGGAAAGCGGTTACTTTTATGAAGACAGATGTTTTTTTTAGAAATGATCATATGTTTAATCAACTTAACTAAATATTCACTTATATAAAAAAATACATGGAAACTTTAAGTCTAATGGGGTGAAGCACCTTGAACTGAGCGTGACGAAAATTGTTCCATGTTCCATGACTTGTGCAGATAGGTCCCTTTAATTTGACACATCAATAATAAAAATCGGTTGATAAATAAAACAGTTTTGCTGTACACAAGAAATCTCTTACGGAATTAGAATAATAGGTTCCCATGATTTTCTTATGGAAATAAGTAAACTGTTGTAGTTAGCTTGTTTATGGACATATTTTGATAACATTTGGAAAATGCATTTATTTCTTAATACACTATAATCATTTAAAAAACACTTTTTACCCCCCCCCCCCCTATGTTTCAGCAAGCTCGTTTACTAATGCTTATTAAATAGGGAATAAATGGGACATTTAAAGGAGATTTTTTTATCCAATCAGGTGAATTCGCTTAATATGCAGGTTTGCTGAGGCGGGGATATTTTTAATTGTTTTGCAAAATTTAAATGTAGTAATTACACTCTGGTCAGGTTCGCTGGGAACTCAGTCAAAATTATTCAAAACATAATTAATTGCTTTAAGTGAGCTATATTGTTTATCGTAATTATATAAAAATGTATTGTTCAAGAAATTTAGTGACTAGTATTTTATATAGCAAATGAATTTAAAACTCATTTATATGTTTATTTGTTAAATATAGTACAGTTCTTTTATTTATGTTACTCGTTCACAATTTATGTTCACCTGATAATACCGTCTGCCTTAAAGTAACAAGCAATCATTTAAGTACACTTAAAAATTAAAAATATAAATGTAGCTTTTAAAGACACAAAATTCTTACACAAACACCGAGAAGTAAAAAGTGGATCATTCGCGGCAATCTAGGCCCAAGGTACCAGGGTGGTCGTAGCCGTTCGACAGATAAAACTTTTCCATCACCTACAACAATAAGGCAGGTCTATACAATCAAATAAATTGAAGATTATAAACTCATTCGTTTTTATCATCAGAGTTCCAAAGAAAAGTTAAAACAAATTGGAAAACTAATTTGAAAATATACGCTGTAAATGTACTTAGCTGCCCTACGTTCGGGGTTCGAGAACTTAACGTATAACTACGGTGGTATATATTTTGGTACATGTTTTGTGCGTGATAATCTTTTAATAAACTACATGTTTTCACTGTATATGTTGCATGTGAATATTGGTAAGTGTTTACAATTAATAAAATACCTTTTCACTAGGCATCCTCAACGAATTTACGACTATATTGTAACGCTTAGAGGATGCTTTAAATAGAGTGCCGCTACATGTCTGTCTACTAAGAACCAGATGTCCTTCTTCGGATCCTTCACAAAGATGAAAGTTTTTGAACAAAGTTTGATCTCTTCTGTAGTGCTGGAACCTGTTTAATATCCACCGCTTAAGAAGTTTCGCCAGCCAATTTGGAAGCAGGTGGAGGTTCCACCCTTTTGGTTGACCAATCACACATTTCCATTTGAATTCTTCAGATCTAAAGTCTGTATCTGCAATAAACATTATGTTGTCCAGTAAAATAAGTACTTTTTCCTCAGTAATCCAATATTTTCAAGATTTTAAGCTCAGCGTATCCATATCCATACAAGAAACTCATATAAGAGTTGTATTTATATATTGTTTAAAACATATTAAATATGTGTATTTTTTTTAATTACAATAATGAATATTTACAATGCTCAAAATTGGCTAACCAATGTCATGAGTGACAAGTTTATTTACAAAGAAAAACACAATATCTTAATCATGAAAATGAGGCATAAAACATATGATGCAGGGCGATTACCTACTCTAAGTTCCGCTACAAGTGTACAGACTTGATTGACCTTGGTGGCCCAGTAAGTAGGCCCGTTACATAGGGACCGACCGCTCTCGTCAAGAAGGTTCATCCGGCTAATTGAGTTAGCTCGTACTAGTGATAAAATAAGATATAAGAATATGTAAGTTTTACCATAGACAAATAGAACCAAATATAGACGGACAGAATTGCTGCGGTTAGCACAAGTTCTGGCGTCCACCGCTAGGAGTGCCGTGTAGTTACGGTGCACGCACTACGTAACTACATAGCACTCCTAGCGGTGGATGCCAGAACTTATGCTAACCACAGCATTGCTGCCGGTCTATATTTAAATCTATCCGTCTATGGTTTTACCAGTGCATCAATGAAAGTATAATACTACTTAAACACATATGATTTGTTTTAATATCTGAAAAATAACACCAACAACAATACATAACACACATTTCAATAAGTGTTATAGATAAGAATTGCGTGTGTTGTGCCATTGCTCATTGAGCCCTAGTCAAAGTGTACTTTGTAATAGTACTCTATCAAGATGTTATTTCCGAGTCCTTCAAAACAAAGGAGGGAAGACTTGTATTTTTTACACAAATGAAGAGTTGTCTGACGAAATTATTTTAAATAGTTAAATTTGTATTACGATTGAAGATCCTCCAGTAAAATCTATAAAATGATTCACTTTCTGAAGTCTGAAGGTATTTACAAAAGGATTCGCAGAAAATATTTGCTATGCAAAGTAATAAATCATATTACATTCTACATTCTTGAAAATGTCTTATAAATTCAAATTATCCTTCTCGTTGACTTAGAAATGATATATTGACAGATGGTTTACAGTTGGTTGTTAATTTAATCTGCTAACATTAAACTGAATTATTTATTTATAATTAATTTTAAAGGCAAGTTGGTGGCTTTTGCTGATGATACTGCATTATCCTATGAGGCAAATTCCATTCAAGACCTCAAGGATCAAATGCAACATGACATGACATTAATATGCTTAGATATTGGTTTTCAAATAATCTTATGGTTATGAGCCCAAAAACAAAGTATATTATTTTTAATATGACTAAACCATTGTCCTTTTGTACCGGCCTAAAATATCATGAAGTAACTTGCTCCCTTGCCCAAAATCATTGCACATGTCCAAATCTAGAGCAAGTGGATAGTATAAAATATCTAGGTATATGGCTTGACAGCAAACTTAGCTGGAAAGAGCACCTAAATTACTTAAAAGCAAAATTAGTCAAGTACATACGAATATTTTATATCCTTAGGTCCGTTTGCTATACTCAACTGATGAGAACAATTTATTTCGCATTTATCAACTCTAAAATAGATTATGGAATAGAAATATGAGGTGGAACATATTTTACCAGCCTAAAACCAATCATTACTTTACAAAAATCTTTCATCAGGATAATGCTAAATAAAACCAAAACTGAACCTTCATCCCCACTTTTCAAAATTATTGAAATATTACCTATCAGGAATCTATATGTTTACAAAGTTCTGAAAATATATTTCAATAGATGTGGTACAGATAGAACAAGTCCAAGACATACTAGACTAAGAAGTAAAAACAACGTCCATGTACCTAAACCTAGACTAACAATATTAAAAAAATTCTTCTTATATTTGGCTCCCACATTTTATAACCTTCTTCCCGAGCCCATCAAAGCAAGTGAAAACGTCAATGTATTCTGCAAATTAACACGAAACTACTTGCTCGAAATAGATAGCATAAACACATTTTTTACCTCATTGGTCTAACAATACATCATAGTTATTTTTAATAATCTTACACTTATTAAGTCAGGGATGCTCGATATGTCCAAATAAGCTGTATGTTCAGGACACTCCAAAATAGTACTGTAATCACGAAGATTGACAGTATAGGGTCAGTTTTCAAATAGATAGGTAGATAAGGTTTTGTTGTGATAGGTTGCTGTGTTAAAGCTATTGTTTGAAGCCTAGTTTTATATATTGTTTTAAATTTGTAATAAAAATACTGTGGTAATGGTGACGGGCTGGACTTTCCAACCACGAGTTGCTCCAACCACCAAAAATGTTTGTTTCCCGCACAGGTTCTGTAACCTCAGGGCTTTATTGTTCGTTATTTAATAAAATAATTAGTTGGATTATTGTGAATAATCAATGTTGTGAAGATTATTGTGTTTTTAGTTTATATCGAATAAATACAATAACATGAATAGCTATATGTAATACTTATGTACAACCTTAGTGTATAAATATGTATTGTATTGTACCTGTTGTATTTGAAAAGAACAATAAAGAATTTTTCAATTCATTCAAATTCATAGTTGTATCTTTGTAAGCATTGTTCTGTACAGCTTGGGTGGCAAGACAAGCCACATTATCTGTCCCAGAGTGCAGCTTAGAGCAGGTAAACTTTGTGTACCGCCTCTGTACCTCTATACCTCTGTACCTCTATACCTCTATACCTCTGTACCTCTATACCTCTATACCTCTATACATCTATATCTCTATACCTCTGTACATCTATACCTCTATACCTTTATACCTCTATACCTCTATACCTCTGTACCTCTGTACCTCTATACCTCTATACCTCTGTACCTCTATACCTCTATACCTCTGTACCTCTGTACCTCTGTACCTCTATACCTCTATACCTCTGTACCTCTATACCTCTGTACCTCTATACCTCTATACCTCTGTACCTCTATACCTCTATACCTCTATACCTCTATACCTCTATACCTCTGTACCTCTATACCTCTGTACCTCTGTACCTCTGTACCTCTATACCTCTATACCTCTATACCTCTGTACCTCTATACCTCTATACCTCTGTACCTCTATACCTCTATACCTCTGTACCTCTATACCTCTGTACCTCTGTACCTCTATACCTCTATACCTCTGTACCTCTATACCTCTATACCTCTATACCTCTATGACTCTATACCTCTATACCTCTGTACCTCTATACCTCTATACCTCTATACCTCTGTACCTCTATACCTCTGTACCTCTGTACCTCTATACCTCTGTACCTCTGTACCTCTATACCTCTTTACCTCTATACCTCTATACCTCTATACCTCTGTACCTCTATACCTCTGTACCTCTATACCTCTATACCTCTGTACCTCTATACCTCTGTACCTCTGTACCTCTGTACCTCTGTACCTCTATACCTCTATAACTCTGTACCTCTATACCTCTATACCTCTGTACCTCTATACCTCTGTACCTCTGTACCTCTATACCTCTGTACCTCTGTACCTCTATACCCCTGTACCTCTATACCTCTATACCTCTGTACCTCTATACCTCTGTACCTCTATACCTCTTTACCTCTGTACCTCTGTACCTCTGTACCTCTATACCTCTATACCTCTGTACCTCTATACCTCTATACCTCTGTACCTCTATACCTCTGTACCTCTATACCTCTATATCTCTATACCTCTGTACCTCTATACCTCTGTACCTCTGTACCTCTGTACCTCTATACCTCTATACCTCTATACCTCTGTACCTCTATACCTCTATACCTCTGTTATAAGTTATATATCGGGTTATAAGTGAGTTTAATAAGGATTTCATCCAACACCTATATTGCTTCTTGTTACACTAGCATAAAGGAGGGGGTCTAGGATATGTATTTGGTGTTGCTTTTATTTTGGTTATATATGAAAATATTGATAAGAAAATCATAAAAATTCCATGTAAAAGAGTTAAAACATTCCGGTTATAAGCCAAAATCAAATAGTGCGAACACTAGAATCTAGATCTTATGTGTTCGACCACGTTAAAAACACCCTAGAGGGTTTTAAGTATTGTGGAAGCCTTACTTGTCTTGCTATTGTATGTTCAATGATAACAATGTATATTGTATATGAGCAAATGGATTCTTTATTAACTACATCCAAATATGATAAATATCTATTACAAATAAACATTAGCAGCACATCATCCCTTGTTCCTGGGTTGAAGATCATTTGGTGATAGTGAGTTAATGTTGTTTAATGGTTTATTGCAGACAATTTTAATCAAAATGGTACACAATTTTACACAATTGCTATTTTAATCAAAATACAATACACAACGTTTCGAGATCTGAAATCTGATCCCGTTCTCGTTATTTTAGTCAATTTAAACTTTGGTTAGCTAAAAAAAACTATCTAACCATAAACAATAACTCGTCACCTAGTTATATAACCAAAAAGTAAAGCACAAATAATTAAGCTAGCCCTAAAATAATATAAACAAAATTTCGTTGACACTAGAGATCAGTGTCATCGGGCATTAATTAACTAGGCACGAAAAATAGCTTCAAAATTTACAATAGGATGAGAAGTGTAATTTTGTTGGTTAGTCTATTGTTCCAGTCCATGAAAACTACGTGGTGACCCAAATAATGTATTATAGAGAATTGTGTATTCAATAATTTTCAACTATTCAATCCATGCTACACTTAAACCTTTTATAAGTTGTTTGTGCGAAACACTAAAAAAATACGTTCTCTGTGGTGAGAAGAATCATAATTTAACAATTCTCCTGCAATCCGTAAATTCGTAAATATGTAGGAGAAACTATGAATACCAAAAACATATCAGAGTCCAACAAAATATGATGAATCTGAAGTTTTTCCATGCACATGAAAAACAAATTTTCGTGCATAGTAATTGGCATTGTAACAAAACTAAATTTAAAATGTCCGTCCCGAATACGTTGTATTCTATAGGTTGTTGAGAAACTTAATCTTGTGTCAAAAGGCAAAGTTGAGTTAGAAGGTTCAACCCGACATTATATTTGACAACCATTGTTAACTCAAATGTTCTGAGTTCATGTTCCCTACTTACTTTAGAACTTACCTCTTACTTGGTAACCGAACCATTGTTTAAAGCTTTGCACAATGGCCCTGTTCTGCTTTCAGCTCTGTTGAATACAAATGGTTAGTAATAAAATTAAACTAACGTTGAATTTTTCATGTATTAAAAAATATTGAAAATATATAATACCATGTTAGCAAAATCAAATCCATGTTTGTTTATCAAATCTGTATTATACTGTAGTAATAGGCATATATTTCATCACTAGTGCGTAAAGCGACTCTTTTCATACCGAGCTTAAGTTTTACGATTTAAATGAGGTTTAATGAAGTAATGATTTAAATGCAGTTTTACGAGGTAAAAAAATGAGCGAGGGTTGAATAGAAACTTTTTGCCAACGTGATTACGAATTTATGTTTCGTCATATTGCAGCATTATTTTACAAAAGTTAGAAAACGAAAATATCATGTAAAGATAACCTCTCGGACTTCAAACCTGTTTTAAACTTAGCCAATGAAATTAAGCAGCTGTTTAGTAAGTGATTAAATCCTTTCTTCTATTAGGATTGCGTTATAGTCCAAGCAAACTAAAAAACTGACATAGGGAGCGTTAAAAAAATTGCAAGAAAACGTGTTATGGTTTTATTTTGTAGTGTTGAGTCTGCAGAGTGACATACTAAAAGTTGCCAAAAATCGGTCCACAGAAAACCACCTAAAATCACGATTAAAAATAGCGGCTTTTCCCAACATTGGACGAATTTAAAAAATATATACCACATGCATTTTTTATTCAAAATGTTTTGAGATATTGACTTGGGACGACCACCTATGTTTTTTGGGTGGTTAGTAGTTCATTTCGATAGGGAACTCATTTTTGGCCGCCATCTTTGATCCGCCATATTGGATGTAGATCAAAAAATAAATGTAATGATAACGTTGTGACAAATCATTATAAGCTAGATTTTCACGATGATTTCAATGCCGAAATCCGTTTTTAAACATCTGTTTGCATTTTTAAAGATATATTCAAACGAAAAGTCTCCCCCATACATTTCTTATGGACGTTACGTACTTTCGTATATTTTAAAAAGAATTGTTCTTATATCTCCAGATCTTATCAACGCTTGCAGTTCAGACCAACCTTTAAATATTCTGTGATGTCAGGGCTTTCATTTGAGCTATTGATCATTCAAATCAAACGAGTAAGTGACGAGCTACAATCCCCAAAACAATATTAAATTTAACTTTTTCAAAATCTTTTTTTATTAAAAGATCTTTACCTCGAGTTGTTTATACGTCACCAAGCTCTTTCTGATTTTGAATTACTTAGTAAATGTTTGGCTTTAATTGTTTTAATCACTATATAAAATCTGACAAATCTAAAGTGAGTCGTGAACCTTCATTTACAATAAATTATTTTTGTTATAAATTTGTCTTTGGTTTAAGACATATGTACCCAATTATAAATAACAATCAATAAGTAATCTTTATCTAAAATAAAAGGCAATACTTTGACAAATTATTTAAGACCATAAAGAGTTTTGGGAGTTATTTATAATTGGGGATATTTAACTAAAGACAAATTAAAAAATAAAAATAATTGTATGTTAATTGAAGTCACACGGCTCATTTTAAAATTTTCAGATTTTATTAAATGATTATTAAAATTAAAGCCAAACATTAAATGAGTAATTTGCGACCGCAAAGAACGTTGTGACGTATTAACAACTCAAGATATAAATCTTTTGATAAAAAGATATTTCAAAAAAATTAAATTTAATATGGTTTTGGGGATCGTAGCCTGTCTCTATATAACTCCTTCGATTTGAATGATCAATATCCCAAATGATAGCCATTACATCACATAATATTTAAAGGTTAGACTCAACTGCAAGCTTTTATAAGTACTGGAGATATAAGAAAAAATCTTTTAAAAATGTACGACAGTACGTAACGTCCATAAGAAATGTATGGGGGAGACTTTTTTTAATGTATCTTCAAAACGTAAACAGATCTTTAAAAACGGATTTCGGCATTGAAATCAGCATGAAAATCTAGCTTATGATTATATAATTATTAACGATGTGTCACAACGTTATCATTACATTTAATTTTTTTATTTACATCCAATATGGCGGATCCAAGATGGTGGCCAAAAATGACTCCCCTATCGAAATGAACTATTAACCACCCAATAAACATTGGTGGTCGTACGAATTCAATATCTAAAAAAAATTGAATAAAAAATGCATGTGGTATATTTTTTCCAAATTTGTCCAATGTTTGAAAAAGCCACCATTTTAATCGTGATTTTAGGTGGTTTCCTGTGGACCAATTTCGGCATTTTTTAGTATGTCACTCTGCAGACTCAACACTACAAAATTAAACCATAAAACGTTTCCTTGAAATTTTTTAAGGTCACGTCCTATATTTCTCTGACTATTAGTGTACATTATACTATCGATATGTCAAACTATTGACAAGAAAGCAACAAAGAGCTTTAACCCATTAAATCAATCAATAATTAATTACGATTCATACGATTGCTTATAATGGAGGTTTATAACAGCAGACTTCACTCCCTAGGAACTAAAAAGAATTTTTAATCCTTAGGGAGTAAAACAGCTGCCTTAGATCCACAATGGATTCGTTAAAAACGTATATTTTTGTTGCAGTATGAAGTAATTATAATTTACCATCTTCGTACGACCGTTCTGGAATTAGCATTTTTGTTCAAACCTCTGCTGAAGCAAACCCAAGCAGAGGTGTTTATTAAAGATTATCGTTTATTCAAGAAGTTGTTGATGTGCAGACAGTAGTCAAAAACTAGGTAAATTTGGTAAATCGTTTAATAATAACTTGGATATTAACCTAAACAAAATAAAAAAAGATCAAAACCATCATTTACTTAGTTAGTTAACATTTAAATATAATATGATATTATATACAGTTGCAATTTAGCATTGTAATTTGGAATTCTCATGTCATCGTATATAAATTGGACATAACTGTGACAAATGTTCATAAAAGCTTCGTTATTTTGAATAGTTTAAGCCCCACTCAAAGGTCGCATTTAATAGAGTGATCAAAAAATGTGGGGACATGATTTACATAGTGATTCCAAGTAAAAATAAGGAGAAAATCAAAAATAATTTTTTTCCCCAAAAATCACCTTGTTTACCAGATATCCGCCATTTTGTATTTATTCAACAAACATTTTTATCTTTGAAGATTTCAACCGATCTTTATGAAACTTTTTATGTATGTTAAAGTAGAAGAGACCCAAGCTAGAAAAACAGTTATCTTGAATTTTTAAAACTTAAATTACTAAATTATGGCTGATTTAATTAAAAGATTTCAAGAACACGCTTACGTAGCATTTTCAATTCCCTATCAAACGATAACAAGTTCAAAAAGATCGAATGAAAACTACCTGAAATATCACAATTTACAGAAGTAAAATGAGGCAAACATGACTAATTTAGCCTTTTCTACCCCATTTTACAACTAAAAGTTGAGATATTCAAGTTATTCTTTATTCTTTTCTTCAAAACAAAAGAAAAGAACATGGTAGCTTTTTTTAGGGTTTTGGTGTTATTTGATAGGAAATTATAAATGCTAAATAAAAGTGTTCTTGACATTTAAAAAATAAGCCATATTTTAGCAATTTAAGTTGGAAAAATTAATATGGCCGCCATTTTGCAATTTTAAGTTGAATCGAGATAACTGTTTTTCTAACATGGGTCTATTCTACCTTACTTAACAAAAATACCAAATTTCATAAAGATTGGTGAAACACATTCAGACATAATAATGTTTATGTAAAAAATACAAAATTGCGGATATCTGGTAAACGAAGTGATTTTGGAAAAACAATTTTCATGATTTTCTCTTTATTTTTACCCAAGGAGTTTATGTAAATGATGTAATTGTGTATTATTACACTACGTAAATTATGTTCCCACCTTTTTGAACACCCTGTATACAAATACTATGATAAAATATATTATTACACTATGTCATAATAGATCAAATATAAATACACGTAAAATATGAAGACCTATAGCTTGTAGTCCGATATTTCACTTTTGTAGCAACGATTTAGTTTACCTTACTCTTAATAAAATGAATTATTGGCTTCAGATTTTTATAAAATAACACAAATAAAGTATTGTTTTTTTGGGTATAGGTTTTTGGAGTTTGTCCACAAGCAATTCAAAAAATACCTACATGTACCAAACTACCAACAACAACGTCTGTTATATCTTATATAGAATTGCCAAAGATGTCAGTAGATCAGTAAACATTAGCACATGTGAGGCTCGCCTCCACAGCAAACATTTTACCGTTCTTAACAAACCTACAGTCCATTTAACTTCTTCTCATGATTTCCCTGCTATTGAATTTTTAATCAAGTTCTTTGGAATTTTTTTATTTGTTTAATATTGATTACGCAAGCTCGAATTTCATAAAATTTACGTAGTCTGTCAACTGATAGTTAGGCGCATAAATTTAGGGATTTGTATGCGTATAGTTTGTTAGATGAACATATTATCATTTGTTCAAATCCCTTGATAGTGAGCAGACTATTATTAGAAACTAAAAACTATTTGTTGTATTAACTATTAACTAGAAAATATTTGTATATAGTTAACTACAGGAGACGCTGTTATTATAGTAGTTATACAGTAGTTTGAATTACCCCTTATAACTGTAAAATGTCTGTTCAGTATTGCAGTAGTCTTACAGTTATAACATCTTTTAAAGAAGAAAAGCGTATTAATTGCTTGGTTTTAACTAAGATTGGATATATTTTATTTATTTCAAAATGTTTGCAAACTAACTGTTTGGTTCCAGTTTAATCATCCTCGTAATTAAATATAAGTATTCCGTAGGATTTTAAAATTTGTTTTATCACCATTAGTAGTTAGTTGTAGCAAACAAAATGAGACTCATATCAAGGACTTTTGGAATCAATGGAACTTTTTAATGTGGGCTTTGGCTAGTTAACGTAAGAATAATACTAATCTTCTTACCGGTGCTTGTTTTTCATTTTTCACAAGGAGCTAAATATTTGACATGTTCCAAGAAAACTTGTTTACTTATGAGTTAAAATTGTATTAATTTGAATTATAATAATTGATTTAGTCAATACATTACGTATCAACAGGAAGTATTACTACCAATAAAAGATTTCCATAAACAATAAAATGTCTTTGCACCTGTTCATATAAAGGGACCCAAGCGATATTATAGTAGAATATGTGTTCGAAAGGACACTTATCGAGTGGCAATAAAACCCAAGCGTGCTTTTTATGTTCCTTGCACGTTGAGCAACTACATTACATTCTTTAAGTCTTGGATCTGGATGATTTGTTGTTTTAGGCTTACAGTTTTTTTATCTATAGCCATTACATGTTACTATATAATATCTGGTGTACTTTTTACAACCATTATACAGCTAAAGATGCATTTATTCGTACAATACATAGTATATTTTTGTATATTACCTTAATCTGAGAAGCAATAAAATACCATGCAATAAAATGCATCATTGCTTGTCTTAGTTAAAAATAGCTTTTACTCGCCAAAATACTGTCTTAGAATAGTTTTTTCTGCTCTTTTGCGAATTAGTTTAAAATAGTATGAATATTTCACAAACAGTTGTGTATCCAACAACTGTCAATCTCAAAATCCAATTGTCACTTTTTGTCAAACGAAGAGATTTTGTGAAATGAGAAGATTTATTCTTGGTAAATTTACAAAAAATGTAGAACATACAGATTTTATGAGTATCATTGTGTAAGGGGATGAGTTAAGGGGGGCTCAGTAGGGCCATTTACCGCAATGTTAAATTATACATGGTTCTTGCACACTTTTCTGACTACCTATAACAGATATCACTTCCAAATTTTCACAGTTTGTTACCAACATAGTATTGTACAGTTTAACAAGAGGAAATAATTTTTGAAAATATTACTTTGAAAGAGGGAAATTGTAGCTTAAGTGATCCTAGAACTATTGCTAACATGTTCAACAAATAATTTACTAATGTTGATCAGGATGTCAGTGGCAACCAATGTGAGAGCAAGATTGAAAATCAAAGTCTTATTGAAAATGAGCAATGTATTAAAAGAGGTTTTGATTTTAAATTTATTGATGCGGGGGAGGTGGAAAAAGTAATTAACTCTTTAAAAAACAAACATTCTGTTGGACACGATGATGTCCCTATTAAAGTTATAAAGCATGTTAAAAAATGTCTGAGCCATATTTTAAGTCATTTAATAAATTCGTCTTTTGTATCAGGAATTTTTCCAAATCAATTAAAAAAATCTAGAATAATTCCATTTTATAAGAAAGATGACCTAGAAACTGTGTCAAATTACCGTCCTATTTCTCATACCAGTAATATCAAAAATTTATGAAAAAATTGTTAACAGTCAGTTATTAAATTATTTAGAAGAATTAAAACTATTAAACAATACTCAGCATGGATTTAGGCCTGGAAAATCTGTAATTACAGCAGCAGTGTCATTCATAGAATCTATAATTGAATCGGTTGATAAAGGGGAGTTCACAATTGGAATTTTCATGGACCTAACTAAGGCATTTGATAGTGTCAACCACACCCAACTGATAGATAAATTACTCATTTTAGGGGTTACAAAAAATCAATAAAATGGTTTCAGTCATACCTAAATAATCGTTGTCAGTTTGTAGAAATCACACATAATCATGATAACAGAATTACTACATTTTCTTCTGAAACTTAAAGGATTAAATGTGGGGTACCCCAGGGGTCAATCCTTGGCCCCCTGTTGTTTTTATGTTATATAAATGATGCTGGTGGTGCACTCTCATGTTTGCCTCAGAACAATCTTTGTTTTTATGCAGATGATACAAATCTCAAAGTATCGGCTGAGTCAGTGCAACAAGTTGAAATTTTAAGTTTTGTTGAATTGGCAAACATTGGAAACTTTCTAGAGCAAAACAAATTGAAGCTTAATCCCAAAAAAACTATTTTGTTTTACTTTTAAAACAAATCAAAACAAAAAGTTAATTAAACCAAATATCATGTATAATGCAGAAGAAATTGAACATAAACACAGTACACAGTTTCTAGGTCTTATTGTGGACCAAAATTTAAACTGGGATGAACATGTTGATAAACTCCTTTCAAAATTATGTTCAGGACTATATTCACTTTTTAGAATGTCTTATTTTTGTAACCAACTGTTGTCCCTTTGTTGGCAGAAGTTAGGTTGTGCAAACATCAAGTAAAATATGTATATATCAATTTAAATCCATTTTTAACCATATTTATTATAATTCTAAATCTGCTTGCTTACTCGAAAAATATGGGTCCAACCTTCATCAGACCCAATAGGCGAATGACCATAAATAAGTCTGATGATGATTGGAGTGTCCAATAGAAATCGATCACCACTTACCATCTTTTTTATATTAACCGTCTTGTGAGTAACAGTAAAAGCGTAAATATATGGTTTGAGTGTTATAAGACGTTTCTTTAAATTACTTTCCATATTAATTATAATTCTAAATCTGCTAGCTCACCCGCAAAGTAAATAAATAAAATAGACGCTAACGCTGACGATAACGCTGACGATAACGCTGACGCTAACGCTGACGCTGACGCTAACGCTTACGCTAACGCTGTCACTAACGCTCGCACTAAAGCTGACACTGACGCTGAAGCTGACGCCTACTCTGAAGCTAACGCTTACGCTGACTGATGATGACAACATCGACGAAGACAATAACAATAACAATAATAATAGTAATTTTGACAGTCCAAATATCATCAGACTTATTTATGGTCATTCGCCTATTGGGTCTGATGAAGGTTGGATCCATATTTTGCGAGTTAGCAAGCAGATTTAGAATTATAATAAATATTGTTACAAATGGATTTAACTTGATACATACATATTTCACTTTATGTTTGCACAACCTAACTTCTGCCAACTAAGGGACAACAGGCCATGGTAGCTAAACTTAAACACATATACGACACAAGGGCGCGCCACTTCGTCGAAAAATTTAACCGATTTTGGAGACTGAACCCACATAAGGCCGATTTCTTGGAGACTGTTGATTTCTTCTGCTGATAATCTAGATGAATATTAAATGTTTCAGGGTTTCAGAACTGGTAGTTAAGAAAATTACTATTATTATTGTTATTGTTATTATCGTCGACGATGTCATCATCGTCAGTCAGCGTAAGTGTTAGCGTCATCGTTAGCGTCATCGTTAGCGTCGGCGTTAGCGTCAGCGTTAGCGTCAGCGTTAGCGTCAGCGTTAGCGTCAGCGTTAGCGTCAGCGTTAGCGTCAGCGTTAGCGTCAGCGTTAGCGTCAGCGTTAATGTTGGCGTTAGCGTCGGCGTAAGCGACGGCGTTAGCGCCAGCTTTAGCGTCAGCGTTAGCGTCAGTTGAGGAATCACGCTTTCGTTAGTTGTGGATAACCTCCATCGACTTGTTGACGGATGCGGTTAGCCCCAGTTGAGAATCTTAATTTATTTGATTCATTTATTTTGCGAGTGAACAAGAAGATTTAGAATTATAATAAATATATAAAGTAAATCAAAGAGACGTTTTATAACACTTAAAACATATATTTACGCTTATACTGATAATCACAAGACAGTATATATACAAAAAAGATGGTAAGTGGTGATCGATTTTGATTATGACTCCATCGTCGTTGTCATCATCGTCAGCCAGCAAGTGTTAGCGTCATCGTAAGCGTCATCGTTAGCGTCAGCGTAAGCGTCGGCGTAAGCGTCGGCGTAAGCGTCGGCGTAAGCGTCGGCGTAAGCGTCGGCGTAAGCGTCGGCGTAAGCGTCGGCGTAAGCGTCGGCGTAAGCGTCGGCGTAAGCGTCGGCGTAAGCGTCGGCGTAAGCGTCGGCGTAAGCGTCGGCGTAAGCGTCGGCGTAAGCGTCGGCGTAAGTGTCGGCGTAAGCGTCGGCGTAAGCGTCGGCGTAAGCGTCGGCGTAAGGTTCGGCGTTAGCGTCGGCGTAAGCGTCGGCGTTAGAGTCGGCGTTAACGTCAGCGTTAGCGTCGGCGTTAGTGTCGGTGTTAGCGTCGGTGTTAGCGTCGGCGTTAGCGTCGGCGTTAGCGTCAGTGTTAGCGTCAGCGTTAGCGTCAGCGTGTGCGTCAGTGTTAGCGTCAGCGTGTGCGTCAGTGTTAGCGTCAGCGTTAGCGTCAGCGTTAGCGTCAGCGTGTGCGTCAGCGATAGCGTTAGCGTTAGCGTCAGAGTTAGCGTCATCGTTAGCGTCACCGTTAGCCTTAGTTGAGGAATCACGCTTGACGTTTGTTGGGGATAACCTCCATCGACTTGTTGACGGATGCAGTTAGCCCCAGTTGGAATCTTAATTTATTTTATTCATTTATTTTGCGAGTGAGCAAGCAGATTTAGAATTATAATTAATATGGAAAGTAAATCAAAGAGACGTTTTATAACGCTTAAAACATATATTTACGCTTATACTGTTAATCACAAGACGGTAAATATAAAAAAAGATGGTAAGTGGTGATCGATTTCTATTGGACACTCCAATCATCATCAGACTTATTTATGGTCATTCGCCTATTGGGTCTGATGAAGGTTGGACCCATATTTTGCGAGTAAGCAAGCAGATTTAGAATTATAATAAATATTGTTACAAGTGGATTTAACTTGATACATACATATTTCACTTTATGTTTGCACAACCTAACTTCTGCCAATTAAGGGACAACAGGCCATGGTAGCTAAACTTGAACACATATACAACACAAGGGCGCGCCAATTCGTCGAAAAATTTAACCGATTTTGGAGACAAAACCCACATAAGGCCGATTTCTTGGAGACTGTTGATTTCTTCTGCTGATAATCTAGATGAATTTTAAATGTTTCAGGGTTTCAGAACTGGTAGGTAAGAGAATTATTGGGATTGGCGTCTGCAGTAGTGCTGTATTAGCGGTCCTATCGCCAACAGCTGTCGGGCAGATGTTACAAAGTTAATTAGTTTAAAGGGCATTCGGAGGAAATGACGTAAAAATCCGGAAATGGCGTTGGATTTGAGGTGACGTCACGATGGATGATCATATGATGTCCAAGGTCATTTGTTTGTGTTTTTAAAAAAGGAAGCTAGCCTACAGTTGTAGTGTAGGATAGCTTCCTTGTTCTGTTTATTGTTTATTTGTAATAAACATGAGGAATGACAATAACTTACATACTATTACAAATAATAAGGAAAACATGTGCGAACGTACGTATCTAGAGTGAGCGTCTGCTAAAGTGTAAAACGAATGAGTTTATTGGTGGCCTTTATAAAGGCCGTTTTGTGTAGCTCGGCGACGCTTGTGTATTTGGATGTTTACTTCTTCAACTCCTCTATTGTATTATGGAGCTCTTTCCATCTTGCCATGTCTGCATTGTGCTCGGCCCATTCGATGTTGTCTCGAGGCTGAGCGCACCAAACACGATCAAATTTGCGGCGAATCTCTTTCTCCTCCTCTAGCAGTTGAAGTAGTTTTTTTTCCTTTCGTTTTCGCTCTTGCTCTTCTGCTTCGATGCATGCTTGGTGTAGGTCAGAGTCTTCAATATCGCTTGTCCACTGTCGTTGTTGTTGTTGTAGGTTGGCCATCTTGTGCAAAGTAAAGGAGAAAGGTTGAGTTGACTGGTGAAGAGCTGGATGCGAAATGACTGTTGCGTGTAAAGAAGTGCAGGTCCCTGACGAAGTGGGCGGAGCTAAAGCAGTAGGGGTGGGGGAAAGTAGTAGAGGTGGGGGAGAGCATCATGAGGGTATCATTCCATCCGTTTTAAAAGTATTTTGATTCTACGTCCCTTGTCTTGTGAGTGATGTTTCCGTTTTTCTTGATACGTTTTACAATTACATTGACAATAGGAGAACGATTCACATTTTTTACAAGCCATTCCATCTACTTGACATTCAGGTGTTTTGAAACACTTTAGATTACAACAATAGTATTTTAAATCGTATTCCGATTTGGGATCAAAAGATGAATTTGAATTACACTGTGACATGTTGCTCGACTGAATTCTAAAACAAGAATGAAAAGCAATGTGTTGTGAGCTGCTATTTATAGTGCAAGAGTCAGCAGCTCTCATGCATCTGCCACAAGTTAGTCTACATTTTTCCATAGTAGGTTAACCATTTGTGTTAGATCGTGTATGTAATTTTGATGCTTGTCTTGATATGTTTTACACCTACATTTGCAATAGCCAACAGACTCACATTTTTTACAAGCTTTTCCATCAACTTTACTTTCAGGCTTTCTAAAACATTTTAAATTACAACAATAGTTATCCAAATCGTATTTGGATTTGTAAACAAAAGGTAAATTATATTTACGCTGTGACATGATGCTCGGTGAATTGTTGAAACAAGACTGAGAGCAACTGCGTGTAAGACCTGTTATTTATAGTAAAAAAGTTCAAGGTCATTTGTTTGAATTTTAAAAAAAGAAACAACATATCAGCATATAGAATTAATTATATGCTGATATGTTGTTTCCTCTTTTAATTTATTTATTAATTTATTTATTTTTTTAATGACATAAACATTTTACAAACATATGTACATAGGCGGTTATTTACAGAAAAAAACTTAAAACTAACATTGATGGGTGATGTGTAGAGATAGTTCAGTGGAATTGTTTCCGCAAACTCCGTGTGATACCAAATATAGGGATCCTGGTTGAATACCTCGCAGGTCTTCGTTTTGTAGCTGCTGCACAAATCGTCTTGGAAGATAAACTTGAAATTTTGGTTCATCGCCTGGTGAAAACGGTGCCTCGCTCAGTGATGCTAAAATTGCGTCTCCATGTGAAGTTTCTGTCTTCTTCAGCTCGTGAACGATGTAGTGTTTGTGTTCCTTCAATTCGTGACATTTCTTAGTACTTAGAATGCTGGATTTGGACTGGGTGTTGAACTGATCCACCAAAGACTGGAGAAACTGTTGTGAAGCCATTTTCTTGATTAGGACTACCCTGTGAGATGTTGCCTCTGCGATGTCTGGAGTAATACTGATGAGGATCCTGAGACTGTCCACTGTATTTATAGCACACGTTCCCCCCCTCCACTGCTATTTCCTTCGTAATACTTCCACTGTTGCTGTTTGAATTTATTTTTGTCCCAATAGTGAAGAACTAGAAAATTAGCTAATCGGTATGCGTTTTGTAGTGCACATTGTGTTACTGTGCGATAAGAGTGATCTGTTAAAGTACAAATAGGTCCATAATTAATTTGATGATCCTTGTCCATTCTTATGTCGAAAACATCGTGATATGTGTATTGTTGTATCCATTGTCTTTTTTCCGATCCTCTTGTATAAATATGGGAAAACTTGTTAGAAAAATGATACATGATATTGTTCAAGTGCTTATAGCTTATCAATCCTTCGTTCCACTGAATATGGTGAAAATGTTTGGTTATCCATTTGTTTGTTCTTCTTGCTTTGTCATTCAATTGGTTTACTGAAAATGGAGCTTCAAATATAAACGGGTATACGACATGTGTAATCAAATCTAAAATCACTAATTCTTTTATCACAAATTCATCTTTGTTATCACGAAATGCTTGAAATTCTATTACACAGGGTTTTATATCCATAATGTTTAACCCTATCTACACACCACCATGTATAGTGTTCAACTGAATTCACACCGCGCCTTGGTCACTCTTTTATACTGTTTTTCTTTAATTACACTTCTTGGGTTGCTGGTTCTTCTTGGTTTATAGTTTCATATTCTTCAACAGCTTCTATCGCTTCTTCAACAATTGATTCGAAGTTCCTTAACTGTCTCCACATACCAACTTCATGAGGCAATCTATTAAAAATAGATGTATCCACGTGTCCGTATAATATGGTGCTTTCCGGTTGTTTTTCCAGTGTATCAATTAAATACTCCTTGATGATTGAACTTGAGAATACAAGTTGTTTCATATATCTAGGGATAGGAGACGTTGCATGCATTAAAATGTAGAATTCTTCACGTGAGAGTAAAATTTTACTTTCATGTTGAGTTAAATCTCTAAATCGTACTTGTAGTGTTCCACGATTCTTTACTATGTCAATTTCATTGTCAGAATCCAAAAGTCGAATATTAGTTTTCCTTCCGCAAACATTAGTATTTAAGTAACATTCAATTAGATTTAAATGTTTTAGAAAAGATTCCCATGCCGTTTCAGAAAATAAAACCATTTTTGTACCATGCTGCAAGATTACTGTGGGTGTATATTCCGATGATTTCATTAGTCCAGCTGTTACACTTTTACCCAAACATAGTGAGATAGGATAGTAAATGCGTAGGAAAACTTCTTTCAAAATATTAATTGGTATTGTATCTTCATCTTTCCGCTTCCTCTTAGTGCCATTTTTTTTAGTTTTTTCTTCTTTTTCTTCCTTGTCTTCTTTGTCTTCTTGTTTTCGAAACTTTAAAAATTCTTCTATTTCATTTACGATTTCTTCATGGTTTTCTTCTTCCAATAATGCTGCTTCCTCTGCATCCTTTTGTACGACTGATGGAGAACTCATTTTACTCATGATGTAGTGTAGGATGTTACCCATTCAACGAACGAGCAAAGACTGATTGGTGGTGTGCGAAGCTCCTCCTTTTATAGCCGACTGGTGGTTGTGGTGAAACTCATTTACAACACTGTTTTGACTAATCCCGTCAATGGTGTGTACGTTACAATTTTATCATGCAAAATTAAACAGTATGCAGATGTTGCATCAGGAACGTTCTCTTCAAACTCCATTTCTATTTTTATATCCACACTTGATGACTTTACAGATTCGTTTTGTTTTGAACAATCTATTACAATTATTGGAGCTTTTGATTTGTACTGCTCGGGAGACAGTATCGGGGTGTTTGTTTTCCCGTAGTATGAACTTTGGAATCTAGCGTACATATCATACAAAACGGTGTACCTCTTCTTAGTGAAAGAAATATTAAAGTTGTCGTAAGGGAAAAATTGTGAATTAAGAAACACTTTACAATTTGTTAGTTTGCAATGATCGAAATGACTGGCATTAGCTAGTATATTATTCCTTTTTTTTGTTTGTAGTGCAAATATTACATATCTTGCTTTTTCCAAATGAGTAGATGTTTTTACAGTCCATGTGTGTCTTTGTGTTTTAGGTAAAACTGGATATTCATGAAATTCCCAACTTCTGAATGGTATTACAATATCTCTATCTGATTTCAGTTGTCTCAACAGTGTTATTCTATGTTCATCATTTAATCGCACATGTGGTACTCTCCAAACGATTTTGTCCAAAGTTAAATTCCAGTCTAAATTTGCATCAGTGGTTCCAGCTGCTGCACAAATAGTATCCTTATCATTTGATGATCTTAATAATACTAATTCCTGTTTCACATTTATTATTACTCTTCTGTAATCTTCAGCAAAGCCTAGAAATAATTTCAATGGTATGTAGAAATCAAAGTTCCCTGCAGAATCAGGGGTGATTGTGTCTTCATCGGGTGCAACCCATCCTCCAATTCTTAACAAATTCTTCTCGTTTTGTGTCAAAGATGCTAATCCTTTTAATGTGCTTGTTAAACCTACTTTCTTTGTAGAATCCACAGTTACTCCCGATATTTCATATCTAATTTCATCAAATAAAAATGCCATTGGATTATTGATAAAAGGAACGGTGGTTCCAACTGTTCCATCTTTTTTTGTTACTCTTCCTTCAATATATAGATAACTTTCACACGGAAGAGTGTAAATATCCTGTTGTTGTATAGGAATTCTAATTTCATCATTATTATTCAATTTTGACGAAGCGTAGGGGTTGTGCGTGTGATACTCCTTTTCCCATAAAGTCTCGTCGAATGTCGGTCCTTGTGCTATATCCAGTATTTCCATTTTCAATGAGTTTTAATCCAATATCCTGTAAAAACCGAATGTTTTCAGTAGTTAATCCTTTTGCAGATGATGAGCTAGTTAGGTGTTTACCCGACAACTCTCTCTTCTTGAATGACAATCCCATGGTTTAGGTGGATGCTTTTATGTGAATCCTGATCGTAATACGTTCTTCTCTGAAGTCTATGAGGTTTCCGTCTTGATCTAGTATGTTCAACACGATGTCTGAAACAACACTGGTGTTTAAGGGAAGGTACACCAAGTTTTGTGGCTTTTCTACAATCTTAAAACCTGGGGCGACTGTCGGATAGAATGTGTGCAATATATGACTATTCTCTCCATCTCTGTATGATCCTTGTATAATGTTACATGTAATGTCTATCGTATTAACTTTCAGTATTGTTACAGTTTTATCACCAGAATAGGTCTTTTTAGGTTCTAGTATTGGAGTTGTTTCAGAAAATCCCAATAATCCTCCAATTGAATGTTTTTGAGTAAAATCAATATAATAGGAAGAAGTTATTTCAGCTTTCATGGTATTGTTATTTCCTCTTATTGTTATATATTCTTTTTCTGATTCCTTTTGAACAAGTTCGTTAAGTTCTTCGTTTTTCATTTGTTTTTGTATAAATTCGTTAATATGGTCTATTTCGTAAGATCCTGTCGGTAAACTAATTTCTTTCATTGGTGTTAATTCTCCTAAATTATTTTTGCTTTTGTAATAGTGTAATTTGTTATTGACTCCTTCAGAAATATTTGGAATAGAATTGTATGTTGTTAAATCCAATAATGCAGCTTCCCATAATCTTCCTTTTTGCAATCGTAGAGCTGGAAATAGAATACTGCGCAGAGTTGATGAAGTGCCGGTCAATGAGACCGTATAGGAAGACATCTTAAAGTTGACTAACGCTTCTAGCTAAAAAATCTAAACATAAGTGTCCGCAAATTGTTGTATCGTCAGGTTGTTCTCTGTTATAGTTGTAAAATACTTCTTTTGCTGTGCGAAAGTAACGTTGAAGCTCTTTAGGTGGTGGCATATTACCGTAACTATCGAAATAATAAATAATTTGATCAAGTTTTTTATAACATATCCAATGAGTGCCAGGACCTTCACTGTTTTCTAAATTAACTATTCCAGTCTCATTTTTCCATATTTTACCGGGCAATGCATCTTTCATAAACACTCCTCTAAAAAATGGTATTTTCATACAAGAAGCGTATATAATTAATTCTTTATTTGTCAACTCTTTGTTTGGAATTAGTATTTGTTTTTTCTTGTTTAATACACACGGTATGGTCTTAAGTATAATCCTCCTCCTTTTTTTATCATTGACCATATTGTTGGTTTCTTGTTTTTTTTATTTTGATTATTCCTTCTTTTCCTTTTAATACTACCTCCTTGCTTTTTAACCGTTCGTTTTAGGCCTTTCCTCCTCTTTCCTCCTCCAAACGTAGTTTTTGTCTTCATTGCTGCTGTTACTGCCAAAGCTGCTGCTTTTTCACCAAAACTTGCGTCACTAGATTTTACTCTTTGCCAAGCCTTTTCAGCAAGCGCTCTATCCGCTATGGATCTATTTTTTGTATCTGCAAACTTTGAATATGCTATATCGTGCTGTTTGCAAGCTTGATCTAGTTTATTTATTCCAGAATCTCCTCTTTCCAGACGTTTTTTCAATTTTGTTCCAGGTCCACAGTATTGATATCCTCCAGGCAAATGCAGTTCTACTGGTAGTAAATCTATTGTTTTGTTAACAATTGCTCCAATTGGTTTAGATAATAGAGAAACTGCTGATGATGTCAATCCTCTTCCTCTCTTCAAGCTCTCTATATCACGACTGATGTTCTTAACCTTTGACATCTCTATTTATAGGGGAATGTACCCACATCGGCTTCACTCCTCAAGTGTTTGACAATGAATGTTTCATTTACGAATTGATTTCTTATTATGTACCTTTATCAATCCATATTATATTTTTTGTATTTTCATCTTCTTTGTTATATTTTGAATATGTTGTATCATTACATGTGTGTACTTCTTCATTTTGTTCATCTTTTATTAACACTTGCTTTTTTATATTATCTTTCATCTAATCCAAAGTCACCGCTTCGTGAGGTAAAACTGCATTGTAAACATTTTTCTAATGGTGAAATCTTTCTACAGGTTTAGTTCTAAGCATCTTTGTTTTGCTAGACATAAAATATTGCTTCATAATGACCCTATCAATCCATTGATCTCTATTATCTGGATGCACTTTGTTATGTCCTGGATGTGCTGGTATCATATTGTGAAAATCAAACATTACAGTACCCAAAAGTCTTGCAAGATAGTTTACATTGACAGCATTATCCATTTGTTGCGGATCTTCAAGATTTGTAATTCTTTTATTATTACATGTGTATATTTCTTCATTTTGTTCATCTTTTATTATACACTGGCTTTTTATATGATCTTTCATCTGATCCAAAGTTACCGCTTCGTGAGGTAAAACTGCATTATGAACATTTGCTAATGGTAAGTTTTTACAATCAAAAGTGGTAGTCTTTATATTATTATGTTTATATTCATCGGTTATTACAGGAACTTGTTTAAAAACTACCACATCTTCAGGATTTACTCCACCTTTTACATTAGTTATCTTTTTGTTCTCAGCATGCCAATTTCCATTCTTTTGTAACATGATTTGACTTACAGTGGCAGCATCTGTTGGTTTTAACCCTTCTTTAACCTTATGTAATATTTTACCTTTGCAATCAATTTGTTCATTATCGTGAATAATACAATTATCTTTAACATATTTGAGGTTAACTGCATCCGAATCTTCTTTAGGGTATCCTATATCATTTATAACAAAGTTATAAAAAGAGAATCTATCTTCTTTTCTTTCAGGGATTATAGAATGTAAATATCCTTTATTGACTGAATCTTGACTATCGACAGGATCAGCTAAGTTTGTAACTCTTCTGTTTTTAACATCGTAAACTTCATTATTAACTTGTAAAGTATTTGACAGTTTTGAAAGTAAATAATCTTTGGTGACGGAATCGGAGTTTTCTATTGGTTCACCAACATTTGTTATTCTATGAGACTTAGCATTATAAGAGTCGTTTTGAAGTTGTAGGTTCAACAATTTTTCACTTTTTAAAGTTTTCAAATTTATTGCATCATTATCATCTTCTGGATCTTTTACAAACTTCAATCGTTTGCTGCTTATGTTATAATCTCCTTCAGCTGTTAATGGTAAACTATATCTTTTACCATTGGATTTTGGTTTTTCTCCAAAATTGGAATACCTTCCAAACTTGTCCACGCTCATGATTCAACTGAGTTCCCTCGATTCTTGTCCTCCTTTTATATGCGATGATTAAGCAATAATCCTTCGATTTCGTAGTTCATCGATTAAAGCTACCCATTCATTGTCCAATCCGGTATGACCGGCTTCCATGGCTTCATGTAATAATCTCATTCGATCAACCAGCTTATTGACATCATTATAATATATTATGTTGGTATTGTATAGACTTTTTAATAATCCTTTCCCTGAAGATGTAGGTTCGTTGGTTCTTGGTCTTTTGTGTAACACATTTAATTCAACTGTAGATATAGCTCTTCTTTTTAGTTGAGATTTTTTCACTTGTGTTGGAAAAAGATCAGCTATTACACTTGTGTATTTT